TTTTTTTTTTTTTTTGAGACTTTATTAATCTTTGCTTAAAACATCCTCTGTTAATTTAGGTTGCCTTCCTGCTCCTCAACCCAACACACACACCACACACACACAAACACACACACACTCACACACACACATCAACCCTTCCAGAAGGCTCTCTTAAAATAAGGAGGATTGCCTTAGTATCAAAAAACCTCAGAAATCATATGTGCCATGACTTCTGCACAGGTAGGCAATTTGTGATTTTATTTTTTCTTATGCAGATTGTTAATTAAGGTGGATGCAAGACCTGCTTTGTTTCCTGTAAAAGCCTGTGCTTGTGAGTTTTTCATCATCTGTGAATCCAGCAACAACATGAATATCAAAGAGAGAGCTATTGGTAGATTTCGCTGCCGCCGGCTTTAATTTTAAAATTTTTTTTTTTTTTTTTTTTTTTTTTTTTTTTTTTTTTAATATTTTTTACAAAAAAGATTTTATACAAGCAATATATAAATGGATTTCTATAATCACTCGATGTGATACAGTATAAATATGCTATGGTTTGTTTGTTACGAACAGATATTCAGCAGTTATGGCCGTTGCGTGTAACTCCTAAGTACTGTAGTCTCTGGGTGTTGGGGGTGGCAGGGGCGGGGGTGGGGTGCATTTCCATCCTGGTAAACCCTTCATAGTACTCAGTCCTGTATCGCTCAGTAAACATTACTCTTACTTACCCAGCTGCCTCTTGTGGTATCTGCCGAGGGAATGGGGTGCAGGGCGAGCTCAGTGGGCCTCCTGGTGTGTGGTGTACCAGAACGTTTGGAACATCTGCTGTAGGCCCTTGGTTTTCACAGCAGCGCTCCCAGGTAAGTGTTTATGTGCCCATTTTACAGATGAGGAAGTTGAGGTTCAGAGAAATTAATCTGCAGTGCTTGCTTCATTTATACACTACACAAATGTTCACCGAGTGCCTCCCCCTGTGTGCCAGTCGCCATAAAACAAACCTAATCCCAGCGTTTGTGGCATTCCAGTCCTAAGCTAAACCCTGGGCTTGCTTGATACATGGTCTCAATTCATCCTCACAACAGCTGTGCCAGGGAGCAGCAATTGCTGTCATTCACAGATGACAAATTAGAGGCCCGGGGAGATGAACTTGCAGCCACCATTTGTTGAGTTACTGTGTGACAAGCATATATAGTCTCATTGACTTCTCCCAATAGCATGAAATAGGCACCATTCCCCAATTTCACAAATGACTGAACTGACAGGGTAAGTGACTTACCCAGGGTCACCCAGCTAGTGAGGGGCAGAGCTGGTGTTTGAACTCTGCCTCCAAAGGCCCATGACTCACCTGTCCCCAGCTGTGTGGTTATCCCCGTGGTTGGATGTCTCACCTGATTAGAACAGGAAGCCTATGAGGCCATGGTTGCCGATTTCATTTTTGGAAGGGCTATGTCACGTTCATGGAGTGACCCAGGGAAATGTGTGCCTGACCCAGGAGAGAGGGTGTGGATCACTTAGCCAGGTCCTCACCTGCACAGCTGAATACCTGACTCAGACGAGCAAGTGTGGTTCAGTGTGACCGGCAATAACTGCCATTAACTTGGCACCCGACAGTTCACAAGGCACTTCAAGCATGTTATCTCATTTCCTATCACAGCTCTACGAGGTAGGTGGATAGGTGTTTTTACCTCCATTGTATAGTTGTGCAGCCTGAGGCTACAAAGGTGAAAATTCACCCTTCTGAAAACAGGCAGAGCTAGGAGCTGAACCCTACTCTCCTACTTTCTATGGTATGTTCGCTCTTCTCCATCGCTGGGGCTAGATAACTAGTTGTTGATGATGATGTTTTGAACAGCAGTGACGGTGGGTTGCTTTCTAAATCATGAACGAGGCCTTCTGGGATGCATGGGAACTGAGGATAGGTCATTAATATATCTTTGGTTCCCTATCATCTCATGTTCTCTCCACTTGGTGTGGGCCCCCTGAGCCCTGCCTTGGAAGCAGGGTCTGGGCAGCTCACTGTCAGCTGTGGCAGCCAGGGCAAGTCCTCAGGCTGTAGTCCTTTGGATTTTTCAAGCTGTGAGAAAAACAAAGATGTAGACCTGGTAGAAGTTCCCACTGCCTGTCCCCGGCTGTGGCTCCTCTGGACCTGTACTTGGGTGCTCCGAGCCTGTGCCTGCAGAATGGACCCTCCTGGCCTCTGCAGATGGGCTGCCTCCCAGAATCAGTGCTGTGCCCGGGCCTGCCCTTGGAGTTTCTTCCTCACCGGGACCGCCACCCCTGGGTTTGTTTGGCTCCTGCTTGGCCACAACTAGCTTTTTGGGCTTGTCATTCCTTCCCTGAGCCTCCTCTGCCCTCCTGCCAGGTGGTCATAAATAAGACCTGTGCCCCCTCTGTGCTAGATTGCTGTGAAAATCAACTGTGCAGCGTGAGAACGGTGAGGCCCATTAGCAGTCAGATGGGCAGAAGCCAGTACATGCTGGCAGGGCGCGGAGTAAAGGGACCTTACCTGCGGCGCTGGTGGGAAATTGGTGTGACTACTGTGTAAAGCAATTTGGCAATAGCCAGTGACGCTAAAGCTAAACGCATCCTTTGACCTAGCAGTTTCCCTTCTAAGTACATACCTTGGAGGAACTCGAGCTTAGGAGCACAAGGAAATGTTCAAGAATGTTCGCTGAAGCTTTGTTTATAATAAAGGGAAACTGGAAACAACCTCAGTGGCTTAGGACAGAAGAACAGATAAACAACTTGTGTTTTCATAGAATTGAATATTATTTAGCAGTTAAAAAGAATGAGCCAGAGGTACAGTATCAATGTGGATAAATCTCAGAAACATGATTTAAGCTGGAGGAAAGGGGAGCAAGCTGCAGAGGGATATAAACAGGGTCCCATTTATGGAATCGTTCTAAACATGTAAACCGAGATTTTATTGTTTATGGGTACATACAGATCTGGGTAAGAGAGAGAAAAGCATGCCCAGGAACGCTCTAAAAATCAAAACCAGGAATGGGAGAGGCTCCTGGGGGTGGGGAGAAAGGGAGGTGGGGATGGCATCTGCAAAGGTAAGGTGGACGCTGGGTTTCAACCATATGTGTAACATTTCATTTATTTTTAATAATCTGAATCAAATGTAGAATAATAATTAGAATTTGTCAGAGGTGGGTGGAGTGCGCACAGATGTGGGGTATATTCTCTCCAGGCTCCTCTGTCTGCTTGGTATTTCTACATAATAAAAGAGGAGAAGCCACAACACAAATAGAAGGCTTTGTTTTTCCATGCTTTTCTTAGCAAACTCAGGAGAGAAAAACAAAATCTGAAGTTACAATGGAGTTGCAGCAGAGGGTCTTTGAATTGATGCAAATTTCATTATATGCCTAGGGGGAGAGAGGATTCAAAGAGTGTGATTTGTTTAGCTGGTCCCAAGATGGGGACACCGTGGGGAGTGCTGATCTGCTCATTTCAGTGGATCCTGGTCCCTGCTCTTTAATATCGAGCAATTGAAAGTATATCTGAGATATAATGATTTTGACTCTACATTTTCTCATTTAAATGCTGACTTTTCAACCAAGCCCCTATGTAAAATGCAATCCACTGCACTTTTAAGGCTGAAAGCAAAGCAAAAGGAAAGCATTTTAAAGACATGAATCCAGTTTTCACAGATAATTTCCTTTCCTCTTGCTGCTGTAACAAATGGCCACAGATTTAATGGTTTAAAACAACACAGGTTTTAATATGGTAGAGTTCTGGAGGTCAGAAGTCCAAAATGGGCCTCACTGGGTTAAAATCAAGGTGTCGGCACGCCTGCATACCTTTTGCAGGCTCTAGAGGAAAATCCATTTTCTTGCCTTTTCCAATTTCTGGGGACTGCCCACATTCCTTGGTTCGTGACCCCTTCCATCTTCAAAGCCAGCAATGGCTGGTTGTGTCTTTCTCACTTCATATGGCTCTGACACTGACTCTTCTGCCTTCTCCCTTCCATCTTTAGGACCCTTGTGATTATATTGGGCTCACCTGGATAATACAGGATAATCTTATTTTAAGGTCAACTGATTAGCAACTTTAATTCCATCTGCAGTCTTAATTCCCCCTTGCCATGTGCCAAAACATATTCAGTTTCTGTCTTTGGGAGACCATTATTCCACCTACCACAATAAAATTTAAGAGTTGAAGGTTCTTAACGCTGGCCCTCCTCACTCTCTGACAAGATAGGCTGTTTTCTGTCCATGAGGATGGAGTCTATACAGGGCATCCCTAGTGCCTGGCACATACCAGATGGTCAACATACACACAAACACACAGATATGTGATACGATATAGACGTAAACAGTTACTTATACAACACGCAGATATAGACACATTCATTCATATAAAATATGACTAAGCATAAAGTAATGAGATTGATGCCAGTCTTATTCCTTTATGTTACATTTCTATAGTTTTGAAGTGAGCTTGTTCTCCATACTGGCAAATCATCTTTTTTGTGGGGGGGGAGATCTAAATTATGGTTAATGACGAGGTTACTTAAGCTGGGCACACTGTCTTGGCTTAAAAACTAAGTATTGTGAGAGACTGGGTTTGTTGTTTGGCTCCTAAGCTGGCTCTGTGGGTGATTCCTAAAAAGAAATGACTTCTAATGCCCTGGACCATTTGCAGTGAAATGAACATTAAAGCATCGGCCTCTGCTGCCCTGAAGGACGGCACTCACC